GGAAAACTAAAATTAAGTATGCAAAATGCTTATCTTAGATCACCTTCAGCTGTTCCAGGTGCCGAATATTTTCCTCCATTAGATCAAGGTTCATATAAAGTTTCATATTTCTTTCACCCAGAAATCTCCCTCCCTTTTGGCCCACAGGGTATTTCTTCCTCAGCATTTTTAGAAGTTCATTTTAGCATTTTTAAAAAAATTAATTGTTAGAAAACTGCCACTAGGCTACTGTCCAAGGAAGAGCTAAGTGCGGTGGCATCCATTGTGAGTTTAAGGAGTTTAATCTTGAGTAGGTCATCTTCCTGGTTGGGGACAAATTCAAGCTATTCAATGGGGAAGAATCTGACATATTTTGGTGAATTAGAGCATGATGTTAAATTAGTAAATACAAGTTTTCCTTGGGAGGTATCTCAAATTTGCAGACGATACCAAGCTGGCAGGAATAGCCAACACTCCAGAAGACAGGCTTAAGATACAGAAGGATCTTGACAGACTTGAACATTGGGTGCTAACAAAATGAAATTCAGTGGTGAAAAAAGTACGGTTCTACATTTAGGCAAGAAAAAACCAAATGCACAGATATAGTATAGGTCAGGGGTGTCAAACTCTCAACATCACGTGACGTGTCGTATTGCAACTTTTTTCCCATTGCCGGCAGTGGGCTGGGTGCAGTTTTGGCATGATGCATCTGGCCCGCAGGCAGGCAATTTACGCCCCCGGTATAGGTGGTACTTTGCTCAATAGTAGTAACTGTGAGAGGGATCTTGGAGTCCTAGTGGACAATCACTTAAATATTATGAGCCAGCAGTGTGCTGCAGCTGCCAAAAAAGCCAACACATTGCTAGGCTGCATTAACGAGGGATAGAATCAAGATCACGTGAAGTATTAATACTTTACAATGCCTTGGTAAGGCCACACTTGGAATACTGCATCCAATTTTGGTCACCACGATGTAAAAAAGATGTTGAGACTCTAGAAGGAGTACAGAGAAGAGCAATAAAGATGATCAGGGGACTGGAGGCTAAAACATATAAAGAACAGTTGCTGGAATTGGGTATGTCTAGTCTAATGAAGAGAAAGACGAGGGGTGACATGATAGCAGTGTTCCAATATTTCAGGGGTTGCCACAAAGAAGAGGGAGTCAAGCTATTCTCCAAAGCATCTGAAGGCAGGACAAGAAGCAATGGATAGAAACTAATCAAAGAAAGAAGCAACCTAGAACTAAGGAGAAATTTCCTGACAGTTAGAACAATTAATCAGTGGAACAACCTGCCTCCAGAAGCTATGAATGCTCCAACACTGGAAGTTTTTAAGACATTGGACAGCCATTTGTCTGAAATGGTATAGAGTTTCCTGCCTGAGCAGGGGGTTGCACTAGAAGACCTCCAAAGTCCCTTTCAACTCTGTTGTTATTGTTGTTGTTATTATAAAAATCTGTTAATAGAATATGTCTGTTAGAAGCTTTCATTGGACAGCTGTAAAAGTTCCACCAACATTACCACTTAGATAAATCCATGGAATTTACTGCAAAGTCAGTAAAGATGCACCGGTAAAATTAAAATGGGATGAAGTTGTGGGAAGGATGAAGTGATATAGGGGGAATCTAGGACAGTGGTGGCAAACCTATGGCACGTGTGCCAGAGGCAGCACTCGGAGCCCTCTATGGGCACACGTGCTGTCGTCCCAGCCCCGTCTTCCCCCCACACCCCCCTCACCAGCAGCCCCTCTGGAAGAGAGTTGCCCCCAGGCACACCCTGCACGGACCAGTGCAGCCAAGGACATAGGCGGGCAGCAGGGACAAGACTCTGCCCTCATGCTCCATAGCATGCAGATGATGCTGCGGGGTGTAGGTGGAGGGCATGGCTGCCATGGCGCTGCAGGGCTGCCTGGGTGATCTGCGGCAGGCCATGGAGGCGGTGCGTGGCCCTGCTGGTGGGCGGTGCAGGGGGCGGAGCAGGCAGGGCAGGAGGCAGAGCGGGGATGGGCAGCGGTTTTTGGACACTTGGTCTCTAAAAGGTTCGCCATCACTGATCTAGGATATAAGTTGAATCACAATATTTGAATATCTCTTTCCACACAAAAACTAAACATGCACAAAACAGAATATGGTTCTCTGTCATTAGGTTATTTCCACTGGGATGCACATTAGATTAAGTTTGTTTAATCATTATTTACTGACTCATAGTTGGCCATGTTCATAGCTTATATCCTGTGGACCAGAAGGTCAAGGCAGCTGACTACAACTCTTCAAATTATGTTGCCAATAAGCAACAAATAACACATCAGATGCTACTTTTCTGTTCCTAAAATCAGCCTCCTCTTACATTGTATGGGAGAGCATATCAGTTGTAATACTTCATATTCGTTGTTAAGTTATGGTCATACCGGAATTAGATCATTGATAATTATACTGTTTATGTTGTGTGTGATTTTAATTATTTATTTCTACCAATTTTTACTTTTTATTTTAAACATGGGAATCAAATGAGTTGTAAAGGGAAGAGGATCATCATCTCTCTGTCCTTGTTAAACTTTAAGAGTTAAGTCTTTAATATAAAACCATTGTATGTGCCTTCCGCTAACCTGTATTATCTTCAACAATGTTAAACCATGGTTTGCACATATCAATGGCTGGGCTCAAAAAACATGCCAAGCCAAAACAGAACAAACTACATTAGGACAACAGTGTATAAACGCCTTGAAAGCATTCAAGAAGAAATCTCATGAAGGGAAAATAGTTTTGCTCAAAACCACCTATCTCAATTACACACATTGTTAACCCTCTTCCTACAAAATCAACAGCACTCTTTACTTGCACCACTGAGGCAAGCAGGACTGGGCAGCCCACTCAGATAAGCAGAGTCAGCACACTATAAAATCTAACTGCTACAACTGTCTCTTATATTGTTTCTTTACGCCGTTCTATTTCTGATACGTGCCTTAACTAAAACCAGTATCACATCTTGCCATGGAGGTTGACACTCATTCCAGTCACTGACCCTGCTGATCCAAGACTCTGATCCTGACTTGCAGGATCACAGTCAAGTGGAAGAAGTTGTTATTCCCTTGCTACACATTTCATAGCAAACACAGAGTTGTAACTTCACAGCTACTGTAGCCTCTGTGCACTTCTTGTACTGGTAGAGACAATTCCACTCCTACTTCAGACCCCTCAGAAAAGGCTCCGGGTCCAAAGAGTAATTGCTCCTGCTGTTCATTTGGGATCTTTTGCTCTCTGTGCCCCCCATTGGATTTCCAAACACTTCGCAACTGTGCCAAGCCTAACAGTGTTGGCAAAACATGCTTGAGCAGGCCAGTTAAAAAAATCCATTCCAAGATCTGTTGCCAACATAGCCAGCAACAATGCTAAACTTAGTTAATGTTAACCTTTTTTTAATAGCTCAGTGCAGTGCAAGGTTCTCAAATTGTGGATCATGCTATTTCGAGGTGGAGAGCAATTGAGGAAGGTCACATTTTTTTAAAAAAAATATCTATTCACTCTGGGTTTCAATCCTAGTTTTTGCCTGCACAAGCCTACCTTTGCAAAACTCTTACATTAACATAGTGATTAAAAATAAGTCTATGAAGCCTATCTATAATCCCAGAAAAATTACTAATATTATGCAGGAATAGAATATTTTATTTGGCTGAGCGTGATTAGACACACAAGCAATTTATCTCTGGTGCAGAAGCTCTCAATGTACCCTATAGCAGCGTCCCAGGGGGAGAAGTTGAAACAGTTTATGTCCAGGATGTGAGGGCTCTGTAGATATTTTCTCAGCCCTCCTCCTAACCCACCCAATATACAGGTCTTCTATGGAAGACAGGCTGGTTGTAAGAAGAGCTAGACAAATTCCTATATCATTTTACTTTGCAGAGCAATGTATGAGAACCCCTGGCTTGACTAGTTGTTTGTTCTCTGATCATTTGGTTAAGTTTGTTGGTTTATTTAAATTTATATGCCCATCTCGCACAAGGTGACTCTGCATTATACAATAACACAAGCGATTTATCTAGGACTGAAAGCAAGTCCTAATTAAAACAAACATCTGTTGCCTCTCGAGTAGGTATAGCCAAAACGAGCGTAAAGCCAGCTCTAGGGATTAAGAATAACCTCCTGGCTCTTGGCAGTCCCCCCCCCCCCCCAATCCTTGACTTTCCCAAGGACGGATTTTTTCAGAAGCGGCAATCGCGGGTGACAATCCCGGCACTTCCTGGCCCATCTTCCGAGTCCGGTGCTCCGCTGCCCAACGCCTAATTGAGTCTGGCAAGCATCCACCGTCTTATGCCGGATCCCACTCTCCATAATGCGCCGGGGCGGGGGGGGGGGAAAGTGTTCTGGGCAGACGCGGAGTTGTGGCCCAACGCAAGAGGCAAAGTGGTTGGGAAAGGAAACCCACAGCAGAGAGAGAGCGCACCGTTGGGGAGTTTGGACGGCTAAGTGACGGAGCGCGCCATGTCCGTTCTTCTCCCGTTTCCAAGGAGGGAGACACCCGTAGACTCTCCTCTCCTTGGGGGGTCAGCCCCCCCACCGCCCCCTTCCCGCGCTTTCCGCGCTCCTCCTCCCCTCCGCCTCCCCTTCCTCCCCCTTCCCAGCCACCCCTCCTCCCCCTCTTCGCTTTCCCGCGCGTCCGCTGGCGGGGGAGTCCCGGATGTTGGCCCCTTGCCCCGCTGCTCCTCCGTCCTGGCTGCTCCTCCGTCCTGGCTTCCATAAAAGGGCAGCGCCTCCCTCTCCTTCGTCCCCCAGGCCTCCCTCTCCCTCCTCTTTCCCCCCCCTCCCTCCCTCCCTCTGTCGCCATCCCCTCAGGCGGCGCCCCCGGCGGGCGGAGAAGGCTTAGGGGGGCGGCGGCTCCCGTCCTGGCTACGTCCGCAGGGCGGGGAAGAGAAGCGAAGCATCGGGCGAGGCAGGCAGAGGGCAGCGGCGGCGGCGGCGGGGGTTTCTCTGTCACGCTCGCAGCGCCGCCGGGGGGGACCGTAACGCAGGCGCGCGCGCGCACAGGCAGAACCGAGGCCGGGGAGCCCCTTGAAGGGAGGTGAGGACGCGGGGGGGGGTCAGGCGGGGGCGGCTTTCCCCCTCGCGCGGCAAAGGAGAGCGGGGCTCCTTCGTTTCGCCTCTGCTTCCACGTCATCCTTGCTCGGTCGGTGGACGCCGGGACATCTGCGCCCCAGTGGGGTCCTCGGGGGAACCGTGTGCGGGTGGCGAGGGTGGTGGATGGGGGAGGGATGTAGTTTGGAGGATTTGTGCCCTCTTCAGGGTCCTAGTCCCTCTTGAGGTGACTTTGCTTGCCTTTCTCCCCTGCAAAGAACGCTCGCCGCGCTTTCAGCCTGGCTGTTTTCGGTCTCTTCTCACTCTCCGTTCTTCCCACTCTTTTTTTTTTCCAGGCCTCCTTTTCTTTTGCTTACCTGAGAAGTTAGCCTTTTTTTTTTTGTCCAGATGATTTCATGGGATCCTAGATCCAACGGGCACAGCCTCCTCTGGGAGCATTATTTTTGGATTGGGACATCCATTGCTCTTTTCTCCTTTTTGCCTACCTTCAGCCCTGTATAATCTGAATAAATGCTATCTCTTGCGCCTTGGAAAAAGGAGCTGGCAAAATGTTCTTCTCTGTGTGGAGTCCCTTATTTGTGCTCATGTGGTGCTTTAAGATGTTTATGCAATCTGTCTACCACAATGAATATATCTATGTTTTGTAGGATGAGTCCTAGGAGATCATGGAGGTTATTTATGGCCGAAAGGATGTGTTTGCTTCGGTGAATTATTCACATTTTCTTGAGTAGTTGGATCTTAAAGGGAATATGAATCCTGAACTTCGGGGTCAAAGGGACTTGTCACGTTAATATTGTAGGGACAAATAAGATCCTGAAGAAGGGAAACTTGGTTTAAACATACCTGCAAACTGAAGCTAAGTAAGGCTCAGTTTTTATTCCCTTTAGGTTTACAAAGCCCTTGCTGGGCAGCTAGAAATCTGCAGGCTGGGTCCACCCTCCCCTTACTGCCTTCCTAAGTAAATTGAACTGAGTTGGGAACTTCCTCAGTTTTGTTACTTCTTTACAGCTGATTTTAGGGACTTTGTTTCCCTTCCTCGGCTATTTCCTTTTTCTTGCTCTTTCTTTACTTTCTTCACTGCGTGTGATTTTTGATTTTCTTTGCTTGAATGGGGAGGCAGGGGAGCTGCTCATGAGCTGTGAGTGCGAGACTTCAGCTTAACTAATGAAATGAATGCCATTTCCTCTGCTTTCAGTAGGAAGGAGCGATGACGGCTCTGGACGGTATACGGATGCCAGATGGCTGCTATGCTGATGGAACGTGGGAGTTGAATGTGCATGTCACAGACTTGAACAGAGATGTAACACTGAGGGTCACAGGGGAAATACATATTGGTGGCGTCATGCTGAAACTCGTGGAAAAACTTGGTAAGTTGCAATGGAAAGTAGGGATTACATTATTGGTGCTTCTCTGAATGCTGTATATAGGGAAATTAATATTTGGTCATTTTTTTGACTAGACAGATTGTTGAAAGAGATCATCAAGCAGCCTACAGTATGCAGCAGGACTGCTAAATCTACAACTTTCTATAGTGGCATATTACAATCACTGCTGTGTATTTCCCTGCATTATCAGATGGCCCTAAGCTTCTTTACAATATTCTACTTAAGTGGTAGCAAGTCTAAATTTCATAGAGAAATGCAGTGAGTAGTGATAGAGTATTATCCTAGCTTATGGTACAGCAAACTGGTTGTTAGATGAGCCAATCTATAAGATTTTTAAACATTTCAGTCATTATTAGACTATATTTCTCAGTTGTTTAACGCTAGAATAGTTAAATTGATATGTGATATATGCTGTAATATATGTCCTTAAATCTGAATACACACTTAAACCTGAATACACACTTAAACCTATCTGGAGAATGTATCTAATTTTTTTTAGAACATTTATATCACCCACCAACTTAAATGCATAACTGTAGGTGGCAAACAATTTACAGAACAAAAGAAAAGAAAACACCAGAGTTAAAAATAATCACCTGAGGTACCATGTAGCAATTTTAAAAAACAAATGTGTACATTGGTCTCTCCTGACATCCTGACAACTGGATCATAACAACCTTCTGGAAGGCTGAGAGGGTTACCCAGTCCTTCAGATCTCAGGAACAGGCTGTTCCATAGAGCAGGAACCACGCCCTAAACTATGATGAATATGTTGATGAACTTTTAATTAGAAGCCAAAATTAAATGTGCTATATAATAAAAGTACTATATTGGTTTGCTGAAAATGCATATTGCAGGGAAACTTAAAGCTCTTCCTGACATATTTTAATATACTGCTTGTTTATTGAGAGATATTAGTTGAATGTGCAGTCACAAGGAGAATAATTAAATGAATGCTTTTATTGCTCTGCTGGCTAGATATGCTAGCCGTTATATACCTTCTCGAATACTGAATGATTTGCTCTGGACTGAAGCTTCATATAGAAGTTATCCTGCTTGATCCTCTGTTCTGTGTGTTGTCATTGACAAGGGGTCCTCTGCTAGGCAAACTGAGAAAGGGTAATTAGCAATCTTAACCTGTGTTTTAAATATTGTGTCTTTGGGTTGCCATGGCAAAGAATTGTGGCTGGTTTAGTTTGCCTCTACCATCAAATGTTCCGTTCTTTGAGAAGGGTTCTGAACTAACCCAGTATCAAAATGTCATAAGTAAAAAGCAATTTTATTTCTTTTCTGATTGCAAAGAATATTAGAAAAGATTGTATATTCTCCAAAGACTGTATGTTGGAAAAATTTTAACACAATGCATTATTATAGTTATTCTTGTATTGTTTGGCTCATAAAATAGTTAATTTTTAGACTAACTGGTGAGAAGAATCTTTATCTATTGTTGCAAAAAATATTTCTCCTTTGCAAGAATGTTTGCTGCTATAGCAAAGTTTTAATTTTTTTGGTTTTCTGAAGTGCGCGAAAGTGACCAATTTCCTTAGTCAAGTGATCTTGAATCTGATGGTGTTATGGCTTGTATTGCAGTCTTAGAGATAATTAATTATACCTTCCCAATTAACAGTTTCTCCCATTTTAATAGTAAATGCATAACTGTTCAAAAGTTCTAATCAACTTGGTGCAAATCACTGTCATTCTTTGATAGACATTGCCCTAACATTTTGCTTTTATTGCTAAGGCTGCTACATCTTATGTAGACTTCTGAGGTTTAGTCCAGTATTAGTTATACAGCACATATCATATTTGTTCAACATGACATAGGCCATGTCTTGGAGGTTGGAATCTCACTGAAGTACATGTATATTACTCAGTTACTTTGCACTATGTTTTCAATCTTGAGCAGAAAACTGTATTACAGTAAGTGCTAAAGTTCTTTCTTGGTGCCAAATGTTGAGATATATTCTGTTAGTAATTAAAATATTCCTTCTGTTAAAATACATATGACGTTGTTTGGAATGCTAAAAACAAGTAATCCCTATCTGGTCCTTTAGCACATTTTTGGTTCTCTATAAAGAAGTGAATTGTTGATTAGTTGCCCACTTAAATAATTTTGGTGTTGTTAAACCACCCCCATCCGGTACTGTATTAACATTTTACACTGATGTAATAAGGAAGGAAAAGCAGATATAAATACTTGCTTCAAAAGGAAGCTTATGTTTGTATGAAAGAGTCTTATTTAGGTTTGATTTGATTTTAGAACTGGAAAGTTAAAGATTTCTTGAACTAATTGTGGGGTCAGCATTCTTCAGTTTCTACCCATTTTAAAATACTGCATTTTTCATATAGACCACTATATAATATTAAATCTCAAATGTTGCTGATGATTTTGGTATATAATTTTCTTGAGTGTAGGGTGTGGAAGTAGCTGTTAAGTTTGGTTTAAACTGAAATGTATTTTTATAGCAGCTTCATTCAGACTGTTCTAGAGTTGAATGCTGAGACTATTCCTTATAGCAGGGGTGTCAAACTCCGGGCCCACGGGCCGTTTGCATCATACAGAGGCCACGCCCACCCCAGCTCTGGCAATGCAAAAAAAGTTGCGATACATTGCGACACGGTGAATTTGACACCCGTGCCTTATAGCATTGTTTCATTTTGTTATTGTTTGTTATTGTTTTTATTTTAATGTTACTTTTGGGAGGGTAAGTCATTTGGAGCCTTGTTGAATTGATTGACATATACAGTACATTGTAGTAAACAAAATAAGCAGTACATAAATATTGTTTGTGAAACTATTTTGCAGCTGGGTTAATAACAATCCAGAAACAAGATAATCTAGTCTATTTTATATGATAGTTTAAGGCATTGCTGCTCAATAGCTGTTCAATAATTCTTTTAGTTTTTTCCCCTTGCATAGTCTAATCTCTGATTTCAGATAATAAAAAGATACACGCAGAGAGAGAGAGAGAGAGAGAGAGAGAGATCTCAACCAGAAAAACTATAGATAAGAGTGCATAAAACACAAAAGGAAAAAAAGCAAAGCAATTCTTCAAAAATCTGTTGTTGCTTTAATGCTAAAAGGGGTAACTTTAAAAAAAAATAATACAGCCCTTAATTTGCAAATATATCTGTTAATTTGTGGGTGCTAAAGACACAGCCTATACCAGTGATGGCGAACCTTTTAGAGACTGAATGCCCCAAAACTGGTCCCACCCCTGCTCCATCCCCCTGCCCCGCCCCTGCTCTGCCCCACCATTCCCTGTCCCGCCTGCCCACAGGACCACTCACCGCCTCTAGGGCAGATCGCCCAGGCAGCCCATCAGCTCTATGGCGGCCACACACTCTGCCCACGCCCTGCAGCATCAACTGCATGATGGGGTGTGAGTGCAGAGTCTTGTCTACGCTACCTGTGCTGCTCTGTGTGGGCCACGCTTGGGGGCGACTCTCAGGGGGGCTGCTGGAGAGGAGGGGGTCACGGGGGGAGGCAAGGCTGCGGCAACGGCACGTGTTCCCACAGAGAGGGCTCCGAGTGCCACCTCTGGCACCCGTGCCATAGATTCGCCACCATTGGCCTATACTGAGGGGTTCTTGGTGCTCTCTGAGCTTGGTTGTTTTCTTGCAGATGTTTCGTTACCCAAACTAGGTAACATCATCAGTGCTAGTAAGGAGTGGGGTTTGCTCTCAAGTTTATATTCTAGTGGCTCAGTCTGTACCTCCTATTTTGATATGATGAGGCAGAAAGAAATTAGAAGATTCATTCTGTAAAACAGATATGATTCAAAACATATGTTATTTGATCTTGTGAATAGCATATAAGTAAAATCAGTGATCTTTGACGTTTCACTTGGATATAAGGTTTAATATTTGTACACTACTCTGTAGTAGACACAACTGAAAAATCTAATCTAGGGATATTTGTAGCTTTTATATACACTTAGTTTATTTTTTGCTTTTGATTGATTATGCATTTGCTTTAGCAATATATAATAAAACAGATGAATAAGACAGGCTTGTACAGTGATAATCTGGATATATGTCAACTTCTAAATTATACCAAGTCTATTAAAAATTATTGAGGGTTCTGTCCATCAGGCACAATTCAATTCCTGTGCTACTTCAAACATAATTTATGACCTTTAACTTCCTAGATATTTTTTAACTGAATTTAATCCCTGGAAATGTAATAAAATCTTTTCCTTGACTATCTTTCAAGCTCTAGAAAATAAAAATACGTTCTAATTTTCCTTTTAAGAAGAAAATTCAGGAAATGAACTTTTTTAAATGACATCTATTTCTCCATCCCTTAGCTTTAAGGAAGATTTATGCTGTATTACGAATAAAACATCAAGAAAATGCACCCAATTGTATTGCACTACAGATTTTACAGTAATGAAGGCAGGATTTATAAATTCATTGAGCTGAATTTGTAATGTCTTCCCTTAAGCCATTATGATAAATAAAAACAATGCCATTCAAATTATCGCTGTTACTCCTTTAAATGTTAACTTTAAATAAATAATTCTTTGGTTTTACTCTCCAAATAACTTTTCTGCTCTTTTTCTGTTTTATTTTTAATTAGTTTCTGGCTCACATTCAAAGTTTTATATAGAAAGATGTGCAGGCTGATTGAAGATTTCCATTTTTCCTCCATTTCCTACTCAATTTCAAGACGCTTTTAAAACTATCATGAACTTAGATTTAAATTGCATTGTTCAATTGGATACTGCAATTTGAGAAAGTGAAAAAAAAAAGTAGTGCTTTGGGGAATTGCACATAACTGAGTGCCTTCAATTAATTGTTTGCTGGGAGTGTTAAATAGGGTTAGACAGGATTATTATTTGAAGTAATTCTGCAGCCTTTATTAAGTATGCCAGCAGAGGGTCAACTAGGAGCAAAGTAAAAATGGAGTGGGGATATGCTGAAAATGGAGTAGGGGACAGGCATTCTAAATTGTGTATGCCAAAGAATGCCCAATTGCA